AACGTTAAGAGCATTAAATTGTGTATGCTTAGCAAATCTTTTGTGAAGGCAGTATAAAGAGTAACATGTCATTACTAGTCTATTGAGAAGAAAGTAGTGAAAATGCCCAATCTGGAATAATGCGAGTCGACCGAATCGAAATAACTGTGGCATCAATGATAGTGAGAAAAACTAAACATTGGAAATACGACTAGAGAAAACGGAGTAAGATGGTTTATATGAAAGAATACTGAAATACGAATTTTAGGGGAAGATAGGGATACAATCCATTTGTACTGTTATTTCTGCTTCTATATAAGTCATTTTTTACAACGTCTACAATCACTAATCGCTGTTGTAGCGTGGACACGAACCAACGTGTGCCAGTGCGACAGTCAATAACTTCTTGGATTAATCTCGTATTTTTATTTGGCTACCCCTAATATTTTTCGAACCTATTCTTACACCAACTAATATTGGAGTTGTAGATAGACAGTGTTTGGTCCAGACAACCTCAATCGATGAACATTTACTATCTCACCAACCAATTTGCAATATTCTTGTAATACTTACGCCTGGTACCCCTCATGGAGGAACATAGGACATCTACCAGCATCCTCCACCTTTTCATAATTTCCTTTTCAGATGGATGCTAGATTGTTCTCTCCCACAGTAGGCTGTTACTGATGGTATCCACTCACCAGACGTTGAGTATCTTTTGCGTAGACAATTGCTTATAAATACTTGTACTGTTTCGATTATAGTTGTGGTAGTCATGGAAGTTTCAGCTCCTTATAGTAAAACTGTCTTGACGTTCGTATTGAAGACTTTGACTTTGATGTTGGTTGAGTTTTGAGTTCCATACGGTATTCAATTGTAAGAACGCGGTCCTTGTTTTACAAATCTTCACATTTACGTCTACATTTTCTAGAGTTTCTCCATCGATTGTGATTGGGTTAGTGTTCTCTGTGTTGTATTTCAGGATCTCGGTTTTTCCCTTGTGTATGTTGGGGCCTATTGCTGAAGAGGCATCTGCCACAGTAGTTGTTTTCGTCTGGATTTGTTGGTGTGTATGGGAGAGAAGGGCCAGATTTTCTGCAAAGTCCAAGTCGTACATGCAAGCTGTGAATTGTATTTCGTGCTCTCCCTCATATATCGAAGTCTTCATATTCCAGTCAAATGGATAGGAAAGCACTCAGCTGCGTCACAAGGCAAGCCATCACGTGGAATCCTCAAAGCCAAATAAGAAGAGGCGGACCAAAGAACACATTACGCGGAAAAATGGATAAACAACATTTGGACAGAACTAGGAAGGAAGGCCCAGGACAGGGTGTGTTGAAGAATACTGGTCGGCGGCCTATGCTCCACTGCGGGTAGCAGGCGTAAGTAAGTAGGGTCCGACGGGTTTCGCTGATTCCATGTACTTATATTATTTGTTGCTCTGGTTGTTAGAAGCGGAATCAGCCTATGAATCTCGGCTTTCAACACGTGGCATCATAATTCTCTCTTCAACTCCCAGGACAGAGTTTAAATTGTATTCTGGTTAGCGTTTTTTAGCAAGGTTGTTTTCTACGGGATGTGGTTACCGACCACAACACCAACCCTCCCTTACGTGGTCTTGGGACAGGCAGTAGCCCTAGAAGAGCTACAAATGAAGTTATATCCGTAATACTAGTGATTTAATTTCACAATTTCTTACTCGGTTGTTTGACAGTACATGAGCAACGCTTCAAAGATAAATACATGATCAGAAACCTGCTACCCACGCATTTCTTCTATCTTCGTTGCCATTAAGTAATATAAAACTGACTGCTGCACATTACACACCCTTTGGTTGGTAGACGGTTGTCTCCCTCACCCCCTAAGTGATGCAAAATTGAGTCAAACACCGAACCATCAGGGCTGAGACTTTGAGTATAAGTATAGTGCTCGACCAGCCGAAATATTTCATCCCCTATAGCGTCTGGGTGTTGGTGTAAATTAGCCATAATATAACTATTTTTTTAATGGATAAACGCATTCCAACCCTGTTTACACTGTTACTTAAGGTGTTCAGAAGGTCTTTCAGCATGTCAGTCATTATCGACAATGGCACCCTTCACTAAACAGAATTATGAAATCTCCACAGTCTATGTCAAGAACAAAATCTCTTATTAGATCAGTTCCTGAAAAGACGGACAACAGAAACGTTATCTCTAAATAATAGAATGTCTGTTTTGGAGTTAAATAAAATGGGGATAGTACGTAGCACCGACGAAAACCACTTGAGGTTGACATTTTGGAAGAAAATATTGTTCGAAAAAAGAAACTTCATATAGTTTACGTGCTTCAGTGAACCCTTTAGTGATATACACTATCAAAAACCTCGGTTCAAGCCATATCCTGCCTACCAGTTAAGAAATACAATTATTGCCGGACGTCATTAACTATGTTCATGTTCTAGAACCTAATGAAGGGCGGATCTTGATCGTTAGATTCATGTCCAGGTCGGGAAATAGTCTCATTTCGCCGTTCACGAGCTTTAGTTAAGCGTTGAATTATTACTTAGACTAACATTTTAAACACTCAGTCGAATCAATCCTTCCGTGGTCATCACAAGAGAATTTAACCCTTTCCTCTAAGCTTGGATGATCATCAATTGAGACCAGTCAGAATGTATCACGTTTAGTTCCCAAAATCTAGCTAACATTTCAGTCAATCTGAATGCCGAAACTTGACCATCATCCACAAAAATCTTCGAAGTTATTACATCGAATGCAACTGTTTCCTCCCATTCAGACTAACTATGGAACTTTCAGCTTCAATATTGGTAATAGTTGGGTTGGTCATATTGATTTTCCATTCAGATTTTTTTAGTGGTAAGCAAATATAAGGATCTGGATTGTTTCTGATTGACGCATAAATTCAACTTTTGATTATCTGTTTTTTCTTCAGATGATGAAAGCCACATTACTTAACACATTTAGACAAATTCTAACTTCGTTTTGCCAACCAACTAAACTACGTTTTTCTATAATCCTTTAAACGTAGATCATCTTCACCCAACATCAACGTGGACATTACTGCATAATTTGTATATTAAAAATGGTCTTCCTGCCTTGTTTTCTGGTAAGTATTAATTGACAGGATCGCATTTATTTTCAATACAAAATAAAAATATCAATTTTGCTCATCAATGCCATTGAATTGCGTTTTGAAGATATTATGCTTATGTGAATACAGTTTAGCAGACTAAGAATTTGGCCCTAAAAATCTTAGTAACATTGAAGTTTAATGCTTGTTGATAAATAGTCAACAATCAGCGTGCCCCAACATGAAACATGCTTACATACGATCGATATCCTGCTAGCACAAAGGTAAATCCGACTGTGAAAATGACTAGGTACATCAGTCAGACGGTTATCATACCGAGTGACAATCTTGTCTTACATCATAGTATTGCCAAGTAAAAATTACTTATTTACTTGATACAAGTCTTCAACTACATGATTTCATACGTCTGTACATACAAATACATCTGAATCCCTCATGCTTTTATTCCCAACTAATTTGTTGCACTAATTATTAAATTTCAGGTTTGCGATATTTTGTTAATAATACCACTGATCATGTACATAAACTACTTAGTTGCATCACACGTTTCATACACTTTTTTATTGATTTTTTCACAGGTTTCACACCTAGAATAATTAAAACAACCGGCGCTTCTGCAATAATGATTGCCATCTTTGAAAGTTTAAAAGAAAAAGTTGTAAATATCGGGACAAGTTAAATGAAGAAAAAAATTGAGATCAACTTATTCTTGAAAAAAATCCTTCACATTACTCAAGTTTACTGTTACGCGACACTACATTGGTCATTTTATTTTGTACCGTGTTTTAGTTTTTAGTGACAACATTGAATAAAATGACTTAAGTTCATGTAATTTGTTTCTAGAGAATTTTTATTTGCAACAGGAAGGTTTTTGAAAAGACAATAAATTGGGATAGCTGAGTATAAAACTAGTAATTTGTGCTTTTTCATTGAAATCAAGAACTGATTTGAGTTAAACAGCCATTAAAGATTTAAAAGCACTGGATGACTGTTTCGTTCTGGTATGGGACTCATCACAAGCGCGCATCCACAACACCACCACTGAAGATCGAATGCTTAACCTCTAGACAAATGAGATTTCCGAAGATATTGGGTTCGATCCTCGGTCGCAAAGTCGCGAAACCGCACTGCTCAATCCCACACTAGGACGGAACGGCTGTCTGGTGCTCACATGCTCAACTTAAATCAGTGTGATTTCAATGAAATTCGGCCATTCCCACAACTCCATAATGACAATTTCTGCTTTACTTTGGAGTACATCGTCAACATATTTGTTTGTATTCCTATGAGCCACCAGTTCTCTATAAAGCAACAGACTAAGCTCGAGATTATATGAATGTTTTAAATGAACTTGCTTATTTGAGTTAAATATCTGTTAACTTCAGTCAAAACACGAAAGCAAGCCATCCTATCTACAAATCTGGATTTTCTTAGAGTGTGATTGCTCTAACACCACTAATGTTGATTTTCTAAGAATTCATTCCCGGAAAAATCAACTATCAGCTTGGGACGAAAACCACGTTTCAAAACATAACTTATGTCAACATTTAGTAATCCTTATTGTCGTGATTCATTAGCAGTGCTTTTGTCTCATACGAGTGAGTCATTTTGGAAGAATTCCGACCGTTCCGGTGACGAGGATCCTTATTGGTTTTTTTCTATCACCCTAACCACTTTTCAAAAACCTGTGCCTTGATTTTAGAGTCATGTCTTACTGCAATTGATAATGTAGCGTTGAGTGTTTCACATATGTTGTCTATCAGTAGGTTGGTTCATTTCTAATTCATTTTAGAAGTTCGCCAAATAACAAATAAAATAATAAGTCATAGCATCATTTATTGATGCAACTTGTAAAAAACTTTAACTGACCGACTCATAGTCTCCTAAACTATTTACAAATTTAAAAGCGATAGATGTTGTTCTTAAATTTAACCATATGTCAATTCGTAGTCGCTATGATTCCACTCATGATATGAAGTGTTTTGCCCTTCTTCCCAAAGACTTATTGAACCGCATATCATTGCTCCACCTAAACATATGTCATTATCATAAAATGCACACCATTGTCCCGGTGCAATACAACGCATTGGCGCTTCTAATTCAATTGATAAACATGGTCCAACCTCTCTGTTATCTTCAATGGATGCATCGATTACACTGGCGAGTGTTGCATTGTCTGAGCTAGAAAGACATCGTTTCATGTCTTTCCTAAGGTAAGCTGACGCCAAAGATATGTCACTGAAAGGTTTTAAAATACAGTTAACTGGACGCCATTTGTTTTGCCATTGGAATTGAATATTCCTTGAGTTTATAGATGAAAATGGCTCAGAGTTTATCCAAACTGCAGGACCACACCAACACTTGCGCATAAACAAACTTGGGTGGGCTGGGTCCCGTACCTAAAATACATGTATATGCAAGCAAATAATTAATGATCCCGAAGGTTACAATCTCAGTAATACTATAATTTTATGGTCAATAGTGTGCATATGGTATGAGAAGCTTAATTTGTAAATATATTTGGTAATGTTTCTAAGCTTGGGATTTCTTTCAGGTTGTAGATCACTGATGACGAAACATTTCGTTTGGATTACAACGTCGATATGTTCGTGCACTAGGCTAATATTTCACAACTCCAACTTAAATGCAATGAATGGAACTACTTCACTGTTTAGCTAACTAGAGTGAGAAGCGCAGTCTGTGTATAGATGTTTTGTTGATCAAGACCCCAGAACAATAAAATTAATGAAATATGTATCGATGAAAATTACTTTACAGAATTTTATGAAACTTGGTGACTGTCTCTGAACACAAGTCGTAATGCAAAAAATACATTAAGAGCTGAACTCAAACTCACTTTGAGTCAATATTTCGGGATGGTGCACCAACAACAAATGTTACGTTATGGGTGTGAATACACTCGATCTACTACCGCTCATAAATAAACCGCGCTTAATAACTCACTTTTTACCTTCAACTGACCGCTTACAACTCACCAGTTCATAGCTTTATTGGTGTTCTTACAGACTGATCTCTTGATCTTTTAGAAGTTATTCTACTTAGAATTATTTATCTAGATTTAAAAGTTGTGAAGATTTGAACTCTTTCAACACATCATTTTAGAATACGCACGAAACTACTTGTTTTACCAATTAGTTTTAACATCAACTTTTGATGTATTTTACGTGTGTGATCAAAATAGCCTAACCATTTATCTCATTTAACTTTGTTTGACCCACCACACATTTTTCTGTTGAGTCCCTGTTCATAACGTTCATATTTCTAAACCGAACTTGATTAATTTCTGAGTGAACTTTATATAAATAATCTAAATAGTAAAAACTGAAAATACATTTGAATAAAGAAACCTAATTACCAAGTAGATAAAGTGTTACATGATAATTACCATCAGGAAATTATCTTATAGCTTTTATTCCACAAATCCATTCTTTTTCTCAAACATATTGTTTTTGTCTATTCCTTTCTACTACCACTGATATTGTTACTACTTCCACCACTGGCATTTGCTTCGATGATTTCATCTCACTGTACTAATATGGTCTGGCAACATGAACCGACACAAGTGTGACAGATTTCATGACTGACTGATTAAAATAGGCTAAGAGACGCTGTGTTAAAACCTTATCGATATTTAATCCTACAGTCTGTATGTCATATCAATGAGGCGATCATCATACGAGGCATCACATTATCTCGTTTGATGTTCGTCAAAGCATTCTTACATTTACGACCGTATCTGCAAGACTTTACTTTATTACATAGGACTATGTTAAACAGGTGTTTGGAAACATACTACAGAATCCCCAGGTTTTTCAAAAAGTCAAAGCTATTACCTTTAGCAGCACATTATGTAACATATTGGCTTGATGAGACAAACACCAAAAGCCTCCTGAATGGTCGTGTTAACGTTTCAGACTGGGGAGCAGGGTTACGCAGGTTTCAAATCCCAGCGAGTTGCAGGTACGCCTTGTTAACGAGTACTAACTAATACGAACTAAAGGTATTCAATCTACTACCTACAAACACCTTAAATCTCAACATGGTACACCCAATGTCGGGTTACCTAGACTACTGACCGCATTACAACCTGATCCACAGAATACAATAGGCACTACTGGATTAGGCAAACATGATATTACTCACTACTTAGAGATCGCTTAGTCGTAAATACTAAGAGTATTAACAGCATTATGAAAATATCTTCTTGAACACAAAAAAGCTTCAATCAATGCTTGTGGTTTTTAGAATGATTCAAAATAACAGCTCAATTTTCCTGATATTGAAAAATATGAATAACAAAGATATCAAGAGGAATTTTACTCACTACATAAATTATTTGGTTGTGACAATCCATTTTACTAACATAATAAGGTCCATTAAAACGTTTAATAGGAATTCGTTGACCCAAAGTAAAATGATGTACACCTTAGGAGAAGAAGCGAAGACCAAGTAGAGTTAATAATCTCGATGTTATAGAGGAAAGTCATGATAAACAAAATAACATCCTATTTGTTAAACATGAAAAAAATTCTATGTAAAACAATCTATTTTCCCCCAAATGAGTATATAATTGAGTAATGCTTGTGGTTGTTTTAAGGAGAAAATCTAAGAGAAGTCTGTTTTATTGTTTATCCTATGACAGCCTAACAAGCTTATTACTAATAATTGGACAAAATACGACTTTTCCAACTGTATAATAGCATTAAACAGTGTTGTGTGAAATCGAGAGCCAACCAGAAGGTCAATCAATGGCAATGGGAAGCGAACTAAAAGACAAGTGAATTTGATTAAGAAATGGGTCAATTTCCAAAGGATTAGAGTGACATTATATATATTAATGTATAGTATATGGTACCGAAGTGCGCACGTGTGTGTATCGTTGTAAAACAGGGTGGCTATAGCAAATAATATAGGCAACACAGGGTCCAGAAACAAAGAGATGTTTTATTTTAACTTCCTACACGCCACTCCTTCACACAGACACAACAAGATGTGAAGAGAAACTTAGTGGAGATAATCATAACAATAGTAAGGGAGAGCAAAATATAGGGGCAAAAACTTTACGTTTACTACCGGTTATTATAATCATCAAGGAATAAAAGAAGATATAAATAAATGAATGCATCTCCACTACTTTAACTGATATGCAGCCAAGTAGGAACATTAGCTAACCACTGGTCACAAGAATTATTGTGTCGATTCAAAAGTAAGAAAGCCTGTATGCTGCAACATGACTAAACACCCTAATCACAGCTTACCTGTATGCTCTTCCAAAACTTGATCAGTTTCAAGATCTTTATAAACGCCAGGCTTTGGTTCCAAATACTACATAATACGAGAAAATTTGAAGTAATGAAAAAGCAGTTAGTGTGGTAAGAAAAGCATACAACAGTATTATGTGGTATGATACAACACATACATGGGTCAAATGTCTAGACGACTGAGTTACACAATTATATTTAAATAAGTTTAAAAATAAATACAACAGTATTTAGTTAACATTGGAAACTATACTAAATAACATGATACTGATTACATATCTGTGGAGTAACTATTCACGATCATCAAATTAACATTAATCACAACATAAAGACGGGCCAGTACCCAGATCCGAGCTAATATTTGAACCATGGCATTTGACCTTGTTATGGTACAAACTAATTAATCAATGCAATCCGGTAATCACACATAGGCTTATGTGTTCAGCTCTAAGTGAACAAGACTTGAGCCTTCAACCAATTATTACTGATCGGATGTTAATTGTTTTAATTGCTAAGCTACTCAATTTTATCTAAGGTAAATTTATAAAGTATTGTCAGAAAAAAGAGTGAGATGATTACCAAACAAAAATATTAAGTATTCAAATTTGTGTAGTTGAAACATCGCCTAGATGAGGATAGAAAGTGGAAAACTGACTGCACAATAAACAGAGGTAGGTGGGAGCGTTCGAAAATGCAACTGTTAGGTTGCATGCTTTGACAACCACGTCACTGATATACAGCTTAGTCCTCTTGATTCAATAGTCAGGGACTACGTACAAACCGAAGAATAGAACAAATTATTTAGAATAATCCTCAGTAGAGAGAATGTCATAAATATTTTTTAAAACTTTTAAGACAACTAGTAATTAAAAGGAGTTCACATTTATTACATCTGAATAAAGCTGTTGCGATCAAAAGTTTGGAGCCGAATTTTTGTACTCATAAGGATATTATTTTTGATATTGGATAATTTGATTTTGCCTCAGTCTTCCACCACTAATATTTTAAACCATGCGCGTAAGTGTAAATTCCCTTCTTTTACCTATTAGAGATTCACCTATTTTACCCACTTATCACCTAACTTGTACTTGGTATTACATGGCTTATGATATAAAAGCAGATTGGATGTACCTGCGCCCGTGTTGACATTTGCACTGAAACTCCAATACGGGTACAAGTGCATCTGGTTGACGAGTCCTAAATGGAACGAAACGCGTGTCCTGGGTTCCACTACTAGCCATCAGTCGATTCTGCTTAAATACTTGTTATTTAATGGCAATATAGAATTAGTCCCTACAGAATGTACATACGCCAAAAGAGGTTGATCGATTGTAGTCCATAATTTCAACGGGAAGATTCACGCAACCGATACAATTGAATCTATAATATTAGTATTTTGCTACCCGAAACTCATCTTCATACAACTGTCGGTCTTCTGTTCTAAAATATTCATATACTTAGCCCACGAATAATCAACCTTGTAAACAATTCTTAGAATTATTTTGCATTTTCTACTTTTTACTAAGCTAACTAACTATGTTATCATATTTAACCTTACCTCAGACTGAGAAATGTGATATGAAATACTCACATTGGCTTGTTTCAACAATTAATACAAACGTATTTAGATAACATATTTTGGATAGTGACTATTATAATATAATTTTCGACACCCATTTCACCTTTGTTGAACTCCCCACGGGATATAATCTCCGTACCTAAAAATCTATATTTATGTTGTAAGTAGCTAAATAGGAATTCGTGGAATAAATGAATTTATATTTTTCTACCACGGTTGTTGAAAATATGTATTAAGATTATACGGGTATGGTAAAACGATTCAAGATTAAGATATTTCATTCTGATTTAACGTGAAAAGAAATTTCAATTTATAAAATATGTGGAAAAATGAAACAAATAAATAGACGGCTTACATTATCAATAAACTCTGAGAACCGCCTTTTACCAATAAAACACATTCCCATACTCTAAGATAAATAAACAAATAGTAAGTGATGGTTAGAAAAATAAAACGATTGTATTTCATCCGTAAGAGACATGAATTTACACAGATTGGTAGATATTTGTATAAATACGTTTAATAATCATTTGGTTGAATGTCAGTTATCAACAACGTAAGACCAGGCACACATATGCATCGGTCCAAGTTGCCATACCTTATTAGTACAATACGATGAACACTAAATTCATAATAGTTACTTCAGTGAAAACTCATTATATATATATATATATATATATATATATATATATATATATATATATATATATATATATATATAATCTTTGTTCTCCTAATTCTGAGTCATTAATGTCAATTATATTACATCGCAAAGTTACACCCTTATACGAATACGGTTGTGAGCAGCTTGTGAGAAACCACGAAACAAAATGAATCCATAATATTCTGCCTCAACTGTTGTTTTAGCATTCTTAAAATGCGTAAAGGGAACCAGTTATATGAATTTTATACACGAGCTTGTATCTTGAGACAGAAGTTGAAGTAATACAACCAGATGAAGGCTAATTGTTTATCTTTATGCACCAAATCACAGATTGATTTTATTTAGACTACCATGGACAGTTGTTTCTTCCTAGTATGAGACTTCAAAAGTGAGCATTTAAGACCCTGCCACCTAGGGTTGAAATCAGGACCTTCAATCTCGCGAACGAGCACTTAGCCTCTAGACCTCTGGTCGCTGCTGTCTCATACTAGGAGGAAACAGCCGTCCAGAGCTTCCCGATTTTTAATGATAGTCTAAGAATAATTGGTGAGTTAATCTATTAAAATATAATAATCTGCGCAAAACCCTTATACTAATAGTTTACTATTAATTTGTTACTATAGACTATGTAATTTCTTAAACTGACTAATAACATTTGTTGGTATTTAAACTATTATTTTTTCTCAAGTTGCATGTTTGCTGGGATCGTTACTTTAAGTTGAGGTTGGGGAATGTTTAGTTTTCTGAACTTTTGTGAACTTCATCTAACAACTGACGTCTACCTGATGATGATATTATTGATGCAACTCGTTTATAAGAAGCCAGCCTTAAAACCCTAGAGCATTTCAATTCCCACGACAAAATGTTTCGGTCTTACCCTATTATTTATTTTTTTCATAGCTTCACATACAATTGAGGTTTGTATGACTTTTATAACCATTTACTCAATTATCCTTAAATAGAACGAATTTCGTTGTGTGAAAAATAAATCAGGTAGTTGATTTGTTAACGGAAGCCTGATATCAGCATACAAGTAAAAAGCTGCGATTGTAGAAAACAAAAGGCTTCTGAGGTTAGATAAACCAGGGAGAATATTTGTAGTTTTGACATTTACAAAAATTATATCAGTAATTTCTATTTGATAAAATAATTATAATAATCTAAAATCACAATCCATGGTTTTAATGACAAAAAATGCTGGAAGAAACATCAGTCTCTTGAACTCTTTACATGTACGTTTCTAATGGTGACTGATAGGTATGAAGGCTACTTATAGCAGTTCGAGTCGACCACTCTTAACGTTATACTAAATATAGTAGATTACTATTTCGTTTCGAATGACTATGGCTGACGAACATACGTTGAAAAACTGGTGAGCGATTTAGTCGATAAGTTTAATTGATTAACGTAACTCACTCACAAAATACAATCCAGTCTAGTCGGTCTCGGACTACGTTATTTTTGTGACAGCCATTAGTACGACCCGGCTGCCCAAGCAGAAGTAGGTAGGGGAGCAGCTAAATAGTGTCACTAGGCCTCACATTTGAACTTTAACTTAAAGTCCAGTACATGAAATTATAGTTGACACATATATCCTTTGTATTTTACACATACGTTTTTTATGTTTAATTTCATCATTCTGTTTTACTATAGTGTTCTCAACTGGGTTTTTTGGAATGCTTGTTGTATTATTATCACTCAGATGTTCAGACCTGTTTTTATGTTCATAAAAAAGAGAAAGCATAACCAATTTAATTTTATAAGCCGGTTGATATTTCCAGGAAACTTATGCAATAAAGTATGGCTTAAATCCTGTGACTTTGAACTTGCTTACTAAATAAGAATAAAATGGTTATAAGAAAAACTACAACTTCACAGAATTAAAGGTAACATTTTGAATGTATGATATAATTTAAATGTTGAAATTAAAATTAAGAAAACTTTAGTGATAATTATTCAAGTAATAGGACTTTTATCAATCAAATGGAATAATTAGGTGTATATTCTCTTAAAGTTGATTAAAAGAATAAATCAATATCCTTTTAGTTATTACTAATAGTTGTAAATTTTGTAAGTTAGAAATATTGAGCAAACAATGAAAAGAGTTCAAAAATAAACCCATATAATAAACATACTTCACGTCTGGAGTATATACGAGAAAGGCCAATATCTTGAGCAATTTGTTTCACCTGGGTTTTTAATAGATCTCCAACTGGAAACATACAATATGGAAGTTCTTTGTGAGAAATCTAGGATAAAAATTAAAGTAAAAAAAATTCATATTAGATAAATCACAAGTCTAATTATCCAGTAGAGTGATTAGAATCCTTGGTTAGTACTGAAGCGACTTAGGTTCAATTCCTGGATGAGATGTTATACTGCCGGTATGGAAAATAATGGTTTGAATTTTCGACTTTTAACTATTGGCATAGCATTTAGAGTGCTACTGTTGTGAAGTAAAAGCTTAGTGATGAAATCATGTGGATTTCAATCAGTAGCTCGCAGATTCGAAATCCTAGTGGCATCATTAGGTGTTTCCACAACTGAGTCAGTTATCGCATCAGAGCACGTTAACTTGTGCTTATTATATGAATTACAAGTCTTGATGTCCCATCTTATATGTGAACAAGCGAATGAAATTACCAGTTGTTGAACGATAAGTGTGGCTAGCATTCTAGGACATGAACAAATAATATATCGCTGTTACATCATAATTTTGTGGTTCACATCACAGACTGACCTTAGTTAGAGTACCATTGAATCTAGGTAACAACGAACAATTGTTTCGTTCTAGTATCAGACTTTTCAGTAGTGTGAGTCAGCGACCACACGGAGCATTGCAATTACCTATTCTTTGTAATACACTGACAGTGAACGTAATTCTTTACTAGATGAAAGAATCAGTCAGTCAGCTACAACGTAGGACCAGGCACATATATGCATCGGTCCAGGTTGCCATACCTCATTAGCACAGCAAGATGAACACCGGATTCATAGGAGTGGTTAGGTCAACGGTGGTAATATATAAAAGAAAGATTGCATATAAGGATACAGTACAGGAAGAAAGAAAGATATGAAGTGATTTTAATCTCTTAGTTTAATGGAAGACAGGGAGTGTATACACCGACGCCATTGTGATCGATTCTGAGCCATGTCACCCACAGTCTCCAACCATTGGTTACGATAGTCACGCGGATCCCAAACAAGTAGTCTGTATCTACCAACATGGCTAAGACTAGAGGTAAGTGACTTCAAGCACTGATGACACGTTTTCGTTTGGCCGCCCCTAACATTCTTCCAACCATCTCTAACACCCGTTAGTATTGCACGACGTGGTAATCGGTGTTCAGGCATACGTAACACGTGGCCCAACCATCTCAGTCGATGAAGATTATTAACCTCACCAACTGATTTACCATCATTCCCTAATACCATGTGTCTAACCTCACTATTACTTACTCGGTGATCCCAAAAAGACGCCAGCAATATTTCTAAGGCATCTGTGGTCAAATACTAGTAGCTTACGAGTGTCTTCTACTCTTAAAGGCCATGTTTCGCTGCCGTAAAGTGAAACAGAACGGACTGCCGCGCAGTATACTCGTCCTCTTATTGATAGACGGATATCTCGCCTTCGCCAAAGGTGACGTAAGTTGGCAAAAGCCAAACAAGCTTTTCGAATCCGTGCTGAGATTTCGTCCGATACCAGCCCATTAGGGCTGATCAGACTTCCAAGATAAGTGAAGTTGTCGACGCGTTCGACGCAGGCCAGTCCTGAAGCAACAACTTGCATTTAGAGGGAGAGAAGCGCATTCCAAACATTCTGGCATAGTTGCTTAGTGCTACCAAAAGACTGCATTTTATCAGCGTCTTCACCAAACAGGACTATGTCATCTGCGTATTCTAAGTCGATAAGTGGATCTCCTGGAAGGAGATCAATACCCGAGAATTCAGCCGAAGAGAACGTTATTTCCATCAGTAGGTCTATGATGAAGTTAAACAGAAATGGAGAAAATGGACAGCCTTGACGGACACCACTTGAGGTTGCAAAAGTAGATGACAGTTCGCCATAAGCTCTGACTCGACTAGTAGTGTTCGAGTAAAGAGCCTTCACAAGGTTTATGTACTTCTGAGGTACGCCTTTTAATGACAGACACTGCCACAGAATCTCACGGTCTACGGAGTCGAATGCTGCTTTTAAGTCAAGAAAGACCACCATTGTCGGCTGCCGATAAGTATGCCTGTGTTATAGAACCTGACGAATGGTGAATATGTGGTCGATGCAGCCACGATCAGGTCTGAAGCCAGCTTGGTTCTCTCGTGTTTACAGTTCACGAGTCTTAGTTAGGCGTCTGATGATTATCGAGGCTAGTATTTTAGATATTATATTAGTTAAACTAATCCCTCTGTGGTTGTCAGAGGATGATTTTGACCCTTTCTTATATATTGGGACGATAAGTGATTGTGACCAGTCAGATGGAATAACGTCTAACTCCCAGATTTTAGCTAAAATATTAGTCGACCTAATCGCTAAAATTGGACCACCATCCTTAAAGACCTCTGGAGCCAATCCATCTGGACCAGCTGCCCTTCCTCGTTTCAGATTAACTATAGCCTTTTGAACTTCTGCTAGAGTTGGGGGACCTACTTCAATGTTCCATTCACGCTGTCTGGGAATGGAGGGTAGTTGTAGAGTCGCTGAAGGCCAGTTGAACTGTTCCCTAAAATGTTCCGCCCATCGTTCTAAACGTCTGGACTGGGAGCAGATGAGAGTATCGTCTTTTTCGGCTAAACGGCTCCGTAAGATGAAAGAATATCTAACACTAACAGAAAATTGACTTGATGGGTAAATGCTAATAAGCAATTAAGGTATTTCTGAAATACTTCATGTTAGTTGATAATACTTTTTACTACACAGTAATATCAAACTTACTTGAAAAGGAAAACCTGACATCTAATAACTTAGCAATTTTAGATTACATTGGATCAAACTGAACGAAAAAGACATCTCGTTCAAAATAAACAAAACACAGTTGTCGTTCTATTTAAATCGATGTCCGTAAATCATAAAAACAATTGCTTATTTATAATGTTTGTAACAAACTGATAAAACTACGTAGCCACACCAATTAAGTGCTTCCGCACTGGGTTTTAACGCTAGCAACCTAGTACTTTTTTATTTGAAATTTATTATTATCAGTAAACCATATTTGGAATATTGAGTTCCACTTTTAACTAAGTAAAGATGAAAGGAGTTCACATCGAAGTGTCCTAACGGAAACATTTGTTTCTACTTAGCTGATCTTCGATCATACTTCATATGATTTTAAGATGGTGGAGAAGATTTGTAGCTCAGGTGGATGATTTTGGTTTAGTTTTGTTCTCTGACCAAACCATCCAGCTCAGAGAACAAAACTCCATCAGAATCATACTTCATCTATTTCTGTATCATCGTGCTAAAACACGAATGCTGTTTCTGTTTTACACGAAAGGCAGATAATTTATGTCTGTATCGTAGGATCACCATCAACTCTTACAGTCGATAGCCAAAATGTCTGGTCTTTCACTCTATCAACAGAACGTAATAATCTGGCTTCAATATTGTCCTTTCGGTATTGCAGATAATTTCCAAAAGAATTTTGACAGTAATGGCCAGTGGCAATTGCGTCTGCAGTCAAATTTGAAGATGCTTGAACGTCATCATCAGCGTATTGGTCCTTGCTTTTTAACACTGCCCTTGTTAGCAAATTGAATTTTACAAATCTATTACACAATATATCTGGATTTGGTGTAGCTCCCTGCTCATAGGACTTGATAAGCGGTCTAAATAAGTGAAATAACCGCATTATGATAATCCGTACATAGAAATGAAACACTTACAAAAACACGTAATTCCAATATTCTTTAACAAAATTTTTCTCGAAAAAAGGTATCCCCAAATGATCACAAACAAACTGAGCATCTTGACGGTCTTTGTCTAAAGAACAGTCAGTATTTTCATCCAAGGAATCCCAGTTAGTCATAAATACACCTTTGACTTGAAATCCTGAAGTAATGTACAAATTCGTCGTGAAAAATAATCTACCTTTCTTTTTGAGAAGATATGCAGATACAGCACTGTCTACACCGCCTGATATTGCACAGACAACTGAATGGATTGAATTTGCATATGTAACACAATTGAGGTTTGAACCGAACCAATTGAACAGATTTCGGCGTTTCAACATCCTACAGGAGATCAGAGGGTTATGCTAGGGAAAATCGTGATACATTATTGGAAACTGAAAAAAGAAGTCATACATCACGACCTCATCAATCATTACTACTTTCTACTTATAATGTCAGTAACGACTGAATTTATTAAGAGAAGTTGTACACTTCATTCGTCAGATCAGTCCAGGTGAATATTCATCCAAATCCTGTGGCCAGCAACTGAATTTCAGTGCTTATGTACTAGTCAAATCATACTAAATTATAAAGATTCAAATACCAGGCATGAACCATGCAAGAGACACAAGACTATTACTAAGGAATTATTAAAACAAAAAAGCAAATAGTCGTAGTAATGAATATTAACTTAAACGTTATTTTACTTATTAAAGACTCTGAAAAGTATTATATTAACTGATGCAGGAAATATACATATACAAATATATATATATATATATATATATATATATATATACATATATATATACATATAATATACATATATATATATATATATATATATATCAACTACAAAGGGCGAAACGCGCCACAATGACTCCTATTTCGCCAGTCCGCCGTAAATAACGCGGATTCCACACTTTTTGTGGCTCTCTCCCAAATGTCGCTGAATTGTTTACTTTTTCCCTATGTATACGCCAAAATATCTACTTTTGCGAAGCTGTCTATCCAGTACAATAACATATTTTTGCTGCTAATGAAAACGATATCTGGCTATCTTCATTTGGTTTTCAAAGTTATCTTGATGTGGAACCAGAAACAACACATTCAAGAATCAATTGCGAGGATTACTCTTGCAGGTCAAATTACAGTCGACAAATTGGTGTGACGGTAATAAAAATCCAGAACTTGGCTCAAATTCGGAGGCCAAATCACACCACTTGTTGTACCATAGCTCGACAAAGGTTTATTATTTTATGCAGAGCATAAGTAGTTTCAACTAATCTCTCTACTCATTGACCTAGATCGGGTAAGAAACACTTTAGCCTACAGAGTTACGTAATGCGTGGGAGAAATCAAACTTTTATTGCCGAGATGTCTGTGCCCCCCTCAATGCCCTGGTACGGCCGAGAGTGGGGAGAGTCCGCTCTCCCTCTCGAAATACTCTCACACGGCCACGCGTATACAGCCTCTGCCAGGGAAGTCCTACTCATTGCCTTCTCGTGACGGGGGTGTTGTTTACGAAAATGAGAGGACGAAAAGCGAATGTCCGGCGCTTTAACCGGATTCCAAATCAATGGTGCACATGGGCTCCAGTATCCTGCGGGAACAAATGGCGTATGAACCAATCGTTGGTCATCGGCTACCATGGGACTGCATCTCCTTACGATGCTCTACTGCCTTGTGGGTTAGACCTTTAGGTCAAAGGCTCGGGGTGTGGCCCCCTAAGATAACCAACTGCTTCGGTTTGGGCACCCGGGCAGTATCACAGCCCACACACAAATTGATGAACTCTTTATGCCTATGGAAATTACCTTTCTCGCTTTGAAAAACAAACAATTGATTCAGATTATTATCATTACAATTATTGTCATTATTAATACTAATATTATTATTACTACTATTATTGTCATTATTGTTATTATTATCATTATTATTATTATTTTCCACATTATTCACCCTCTTTTATACTTATACAGCGGCTCGTCTTTGGTGGAAATCCGACTGTATCTAAACGTTCTCGAGTCACTGTCCGGTTGAAAATTGTATGTTACCACCGAATACGAGGACTGAAGCAGTTTTTCTGAAACCACGTGCATCATTCAAACTGGCTGCCTTCAACGTTCGCACATTTATGCAGGTCGGACAACAGATAGGGCTGGCTATGTCTTTGGAAAGTCTTAATATCAACGTGTGTTGTCTGTCCGAGACCCGTATTCAAGACTCTGGCGAAGTACTACAAATTCGATCTCCATCTGTCGCGTCGAAAAGCTTGTCTTACGTGCGCTTATCCGGGGACCCTGTGGCATCTTCGTCTGGTCTTGCTGGCGTTGGTGTCGCACTAAGCGCTAGAGCTGAGGCAGCACTAGTCGATTGGATCCCCATTAACAGTCGGTTATGTGCTGTTAGATTAGAAAGTTCCATCAAAGTGAGAAGAAATCGGCGTGAGAAACGATGTTTTCTCGTCATCTCCGCCTATGCTTCGACAGATTGCAGCCCGGATGCAATCAAGGATGAATTCTACCACCAGTTATCAGTTCTTCTCCAGAAAGTGCGTTCGACAGATATTGTAGTACTAGCCGGAAACTTGAATGCTCAGGTCGGGCGTCTAGGCACAGAAGAGAGTCATTTAGGTGGCCGATGGGGACTTGTTGGTCGCAGGACAGATAACGAGGACCGTCTACTGTAACTGCGCACAGACCACAACCTGTTTCTGGCTAGCACCAACTTTCGGCACAGTCATCGCCGATGTGCCACCTGGCGTCCTCCCTCTGCATCTCAAGCCTGGACTCAGATTGATCACATCGCGATCAGCTACCGCTGGCGTGGTTGTGTACAAGACTGCCGCTCCTTTTGGAGTACCTATCTGGACTCTGACCATGCCTTGGTCTGCGCCAATCTTGCCTTACTTTTCAGTGGCCAACGAAGTGACCACCACCAAAAGATTGATGTTAGCAAGCTGGTTGCAACTTCTGTTGCAAGTAAGTATCGAACCGAGCTAGCCTCTAGGCTAGCTACCACTCCACCGAAAAGTATAGATGAGCATTGGTTGCAATTGCATGACGCCATGAAAATGGCGGGAACAGTCAGTTGTGGGTTTGCGAAACGTCCCGCTTTTAAGCACTGGGTTTCTTCTGGTTCCTTACAACTCATTGAAGCCCGTCGGTCTACTCCGGGTGACCGTGAGTTTGACCATAAACGAAGGATGTTACGTAATGAAATTGAGCAAAGCTTGCTTAAGGACCGAGAAACCTGGTGGTCGGAGAATGCTAATGAGCTGGAAGCAGCAGTTGCATCTGGTAACTACCGGAAGCTCTTCCAACTCATCCGAGCCACTGGCAGCAAGAAGTCTGGTGTGAGCGAAGCCATCTGCGAGGATGATGGGATGCCAATCACTAACATCCATCGACGTCTTGGACGATGGGCAGAATTTTTCGAAGGGCAGTTCAACTGGCCTGCTGCTCCGGCAACATCGGTCAAACTGTCCTGCCCTCCATGGCCGGTGACGACTGATCCACCAAATGAGGAGGAAGTCCGCAAGGAACTCCAACTCTTGAAGCGTTACAAATCACCTGGCCCAGATGACTTACCTCCGGCTCTTTTTAAAGATGGTGGTGACTTTCTGACTAAGGAATTGACGACGTTGTTTACAAAGGTCTGGGAACTAGAGAGGGTACCAACGTCATGGAATGAGTCGATAGTTGTCCCTATCTTTAAAAAGGGTTCACGTCGTTCCTGTAACAACTATCGGGGGATGAGTCTACTTTCGATTGCGTCCAAGCTATTGGCTTCCATCATACTTCGTAGGTTGTTCAAAACCCGAGAAAGATTGACTCGCGAGGAGCAGGCTGGGTTTCGTTCTGGTCGAGGATGTATTGATCATATCTTCACCCTCCGCCAAATTTTAGAACACCATCATACTTATCAAAGGCCAACAATCGTAGTATTTCTTGACATCAGGGCTGCCTTCGATTCGTTGGATAGGACTGTTCTCTGGGATTGTCTATTGAAGAAGGGTGTGCCTGAGAAGTTTATTAACATCCTAAAAGCCCTGTATAAAAACACCTCAGGCAGAGTGAGGGCATACAACCACCTCTCTCCATTGTTCCATTCGAGCAGTGGGGTTAGGCAGGGTTGCCCAATCTCACCATTCCTCTTCAACTTTGCCATCGATGACATTCTGGAAACAACTCTGATGAGTGTAAGTAATGGTGGTGTGGATCTGTTGCCTGGAGAAAGACTTCTCGACCTTGAGTATGCGGACGATATTGTCTTACTGTGCGATAATGCCCAAGGCATGCAATCCGCACTTAATCAGTTGGCAATCAGTGTCCGTAGGTATGGTATGTGCTTTGCACCTTCGAAGTGCAAAGTACTTCTACAAGACTGGCAGGATTCCAATCCTGTACTCACCTTGGATGGTGAGCAGATAGACGTAGTCGAGAAGTTCGTGTATCTGGGTAGCTGCATAAGTGCTGGTGGGGGTGTGAGTGATGAGATCAATGCACGAATAGTGAAAGCCAGAGCGGCTTATGCCAATCTGGGCCACCTTTGGCGCCTTCGTGATGTTAGTCTGGCTGTAAAAGGCCGGATCTACAACGCGTCGGTGAGAGCAGTTCTGCTCTATGCTTGTGAAACCTGGCCTCTCCGATTTGAGGATGTTAGACGACTCTCTGTGTTTGATCATCGTTGTCTCCGAAGGATTGCTGATATCCAGTGGCAACACCATGTTAGTAATGCAGAGGTTCGGCATCGTGTGTTCGGGCACAGAGATGATAATTCAATTGGTGTGACCATCTTGAAACACCGACTTCGGTGGCTTGGACATGTTCTCCGAATGTCGTCCCAGAGAATTCCACGTCGTGCATTAATTGCCGACTCTGGGACTGGTTGGAAGAAGCGGAGAGGTGGTCAGTGCATGACATGGTGTCGTGGCATGAAAGAAAGCTGCAAAGGACTGGCTTGTGTTGGTCCTTCACGACTCCCTGGCTGGGGTCCGAGAGATGGTGCTACACAGTGGCTAGAGACGTTATCAGATATGGCTCAGAATAGAAGCCAGTGGCGATCCTGCTGTAACCTTCTTTTACTTTCTTCATAAAAAGTGGTTGTGCCTCCTTTACCTGAAAGATTTCTTCTGATTGTACCTTTTCGTTCCGTCGTTACTACCACACTACCTTACTCCAATCTCTTCGTCATTGTTCTCTTTTTCTTTTGCGCTCCTTAGTTTTTGTTTTCTACTTCTCTTCGAATTCTCATTGTTTTGTGTGGCGCATATATATTGGCGCTCTCTTGTACCAATATTTATGTGTTCAAATAAATAAATAAATAAATAAATAGA